TCCGTAATCGTAATACACATATATCGTATGCTTATTTTTATAATACATAGTCCGTATACAATACATGTACATACAGTACACAATATATATCCAGTTCATTGTATTTACACTACCACTATTGAAATCAAAATTTGTTTCGGTGGTTTTACTTTCGCTTCACTACCGAATAGTTCGGTTATTCAGCAGACAAAAAAACCCAATAAAACAGTTCTATCGTTATTATTTATTTGTACATCGTACAAACATCGATACGTTGACTTACATAATTGTACTGTATTTACCAGGGAAGCTACCACGCAGACAACAGACCAAGATGATAACGGCGTTCAGCTTAAAAACATTACACCGCCCATACTACTAGTGATATGATTCCAGGAATTTATAAGTGTATCATCATCACACTTTTGTTTCTGATAATATACATTTGTCCATGTGGTACAGGTGTTGTTTGCGTTATTATAGCAGTGCCCGGGCTGATAAACAGTATTTACACCAACCAGTGCCGATAACCAAATATCACTTCTTTCGGGTTCTTTATTCTGGATTCTATTCTTCAACAGCGCGTATTCCGTCTTTGCGTATTGCAGAGTTATCTTCACTTGGGAGCAGGTATTGATTGTTACGTCATTGGTTTGTGCGAGAAAATTACGTCGTTTTCTCAAAAACTGATGACGCTACTCTCACAAACAAGTGACGTAACAATCAATACTTGCTCCCAAGAGAAGATAACTCTGCAATACGCAAAGACGGAATACGTACGCGTCAAAGATTCAGATAGTAACTGATTCTGAGTTTGGTCATTGATAGTCAGCTAGCGCCGCTTCTGACTTTTGGTCCTTTATTACACAGAGCTGTGACGGACATAAACAGATGTGCTCATGTTTATTTACAATAATGTTTATATAAGTTATGATATTTTTGAAAGTTTATTTCACCGTCACATCTAGATCTGTGATGTCATAGTTTATATGTCTCTGTTTTCGGTGGAATATCAACATTATTTCGCGATATTTATGGAAGATATGTAAGCTTTCACATAAACCTGTTCATAACCACAGCGATCCTGTGTAATTTATAGGTCATCACAACTTTATGGATACTAAACTTACAACCATCTGAGTAAACATGGGCGGGAAAGGGTCCAATATAAAGCCGGTGTTAAATTCTCGTCCTCAACTTTAGTACGCACTTTATAGACACTTGACCTCCGTCCCAGAGAGATTATTACAGGTATCTATTGGTTGTGTACCATTATCTGGTAAAGACGACTACGGAATACATACATATATTACGGTTAAAAAAAAGAATACCATTTTGCTTCCAACAGGTCAAAATCGTTTTATTACAAATAGGCGTGACACGCGTACGTTTCGGTATAACGATTATTATATGATAAGGAGTGTTGTATCCAACCATGTTGGGGCAATATCTGTCGCCCCATCTTCTCTGTACCACCGTCGTTCAGAAAGATGACACAACCTCTAGTAATGTGCGTGGTGTGACAGCCGCATCATACAGCGCGATGTGTGATACCGTATCTCTGATTAAACACTCGCTTTATTAATGGTAAACCCAAACTTCTTGTTTCATTTTCCATTTTCGTACAGTGCCCGAGAACTCCGGAAATCCCGACTGAGTCATAGTCAGAAGTACCGAGGTAGGAACCCGGGGTGTCAGCGGCCGTGATAGTGTTACATCACTGATTTAGATAGCACCAGAGACGTATTGCCGAATAACTTGTAGTCTATTACAAATGACCTGTTCAATTGATTATTGTCTAATCCTATACACTCCAAAGGCTGTGTGTGTATCGAAATGTATACTATATTCCAGCCACTCACAAACACTATATGTACATCGCATGAAACTTCAGATTCTCTCAAAGTAGTCCTAGAAGATTCTATATATATAAATATCCAATAATTGTATTTTATTGTCCAAATTAACTTTATGAGAACACCTGAATACTTTAAAGGACATCAGGAGTTGGTTACAATGACGTAAGATGAATAACATTTCCATAAAAGTTAGAGGTATCGATATGTGTCTGGTAGTGTTACTGGTGACGTCACTTACTTCATTTCTATTGTATCGGTACAGGTGCAATGAACTATTTAGTCACGTGACCTACAAACCGATAATAACAACACAGAGGGAAAACCCGACATCATTCCCTCGGATTTAGCACCCAGTACGGTCGTGTCTGACAGGGGCTCTAGGAGTCCGTTCCCTGTCTGTAACCCCCGGGACCAGGATGTATGTAACCCCCGGGATATTGTGTACTGGTGTTCTATTACTAGCTGTGTATACAGGTAGGTACTTAGTGATTATATATAGTTAGAGGTGTTTACATAGATACTTACCTGCTTACGTTGATCTGACATGCATGATATATATACTCGTACCGTCGTACGTGAGGTAAACACAGTGTGACAACGAATGGTGTCTTCTAGTAAAACGGACCTACAGACCACACAAACATACGTATACCTGTACAATCATACAGTTGGGAGCAAACTTACTCCTAAAACCACGGAATATTCTTAGTCCGTGTTATAACATAACAGCCCTAAAAAATTGTTGGGATAGGAGCAAACTTTGTTTTTGCGTAAACTCGCAAACTCGCCTATTATACGCCAGTCGGAGTATGGATTTGTTACTAAAAATAACCCAAATCGCTTTAACAGTAACCTTTGCAAGATATTATTAAAAATCGCATTAATTTACGACAAGGTTAATAATATTTTGCTAAAAGATGTTTACTGTTCGGAATATTTCCCAGAGGATTGTGAACAGTATACAAGAAAAGATAAGATAAACTGAAAGCGTTGGCTACTTAGAAACTTGATGTAATGTTACCGGAAGTATTGCATCTATTTTTGGTACTTAATTTAAACTTAATTTTCATGTGGGAACATGAAAATTAAGTTTATTTTTGCATTTGTATTATGTTTCATGACTGAATAAATGCGACTTGGACAAACAATGTAAAAAAATTAAGATTAAAGTGAGTTTGGCTTTTTTTAGTCACAAATCCATACCCAGCCTATTGGCGTATAATAGGCAAGCTTAATAAATGCATTGGAGTTCACAAGAAAAGTGAACTCTAGTTCACTAGCTTGTGCACTGGAGTTCACATCCTTGTGCACAGGAGTTAACACTGAAATGAACCGGAGTTCACATCCTTGTGCACAGGACTTAACACTTCAGTGAACCGGAGTTCACATCCTTGTGCACAGGACTTAACACTGAAGTGAACCGGAGTTCACATCCTTGTGCACAGGAGTTAACACTGAAGTGAACTGGAGTTCACATCCTTGTGCACAGGAGTTAACACTTTAGTGAACCGGAGTTCACATCCTTGTGCACAGGAGTTAACACTGAAGTGATCTGGAGTTCACATCCTTGTGCACAGGAGTTAACACTTCAGTGAACCGGAGTTAACATCCTTGTGCACAGGAGTTAACACTGAAGTGAACTGGAGTTAACATCCTTGTGCACAGGAGTTAACACTGAAGTGAACCGGAGTTCACATCCTTGTGCACAGTAGTAAACACTGAAGTGAACCAGAGTTCACATCCTTGTGCACAGGAGTTAACACTGAAGTGAACCGGAGTTCTCATCCTTGTGCACAGGACTTAACACTGAAGTGAACCGGAGTTCACATCCTTGTGCACTGGAGTTTATTATACAGTTCACCAAGTAATTTTCTTTATCATATGATGTATGTCCTTTTCATCAGTGAGTTTATACATACTTATACCTATGATCATCTCCCCTCCCGTCTGCTTGATAAATCAATAAATCTATAAAATATTAGATGTTACCTATTCATATACATGAAATGATTTAAGCAGGATCCTTTTATGAAAATAGCATAATAACTATAGAGCGTGATGACCTATTAAATTATTAGCACATGCACTGACTTGGATCCATGGTACATGTATTTGTGGTCTAAAGTTTGTACTGCTTTGTCTTAAAGACATTATCACCATGATTAACTCATTCACCCCTGGAGACACATTTAAACTCTTCCAATTCAGAGGTTGGAATAGTTCATTATGAAATTTCAGGGGTGAATGAGTTAAAGTTCCTTTATAATTATTACTATTATATAGATATGTCGTTATATTAATGAGTACATGATAGTGAATCAAAACTCTTTTTCTGCGGGTCAGGTAGTAGATAAGTACACATGTACTGTGAATAGGAAGAATAAGAAAAAATATGCCTGCAGGTACTTAATATACATAATTATATATATTGTCTCATTCATGATTGGGTAACAATTCACCTCAATGCAGATCTGAATTCCAACAAATCATTTATTTATTGCAACAATTAAATATGTAGGTATCCAAATGGCTCATTCCTGAACACCAACTCTGGAGAATTGAAAGGAAGGTGTTTATATAGGAAATCCTTTGAAGTTTAGTTATAGCCCGTTTCAACTAAGAATGTCAAAAATAAAAATAATATTACAGGTAAATTTAACCTGTCTTAACTGCAGGGATTGATATGCCCGGAGGATGTGTGTATTACACAAGGTATAGGGTCTGATGTCCTGATGAACGCATACATTTTTAATTTAGCTGTAGGGCAACTTGTTTTGATAGGGGTTATAGTCTTTTTCTTAAAAAGCGTCTGAGTTTTAACAAGTGAATCTACCTGTAAAACTTACCTGTTACTCAAGCACAAATGATTATATAAATATTCATATATATATTTTTTGTCCTTTTAACTTTCTTCAGTTTTTTAATTTTTGATAATATTAACAAACTGATCCATATGGTATTTGATATGATATTAATTGAACTTATCTTTCAATAACAGACGAATAACTTAATTACAAAGCATAATTAATCAAAATTTAACAACACCCTAATTAATATATGTCTTAGTCATTATATCTATACGAAACCAAATCTAAGTATTAATTAGTACCTTACAGGTGTACAAGTGATGAAATAACATTTTTAAAGAATCAATGTGTTTTTTAAAAAAAATATAGTATTATTGTTAATTTGAATAAACTGGAAAATGAAATCAAAAAGGAATTTTCACATAGAGAACAGATATTTTTAGGAGTTTCAAACTCCAAAAAATAGCTTTTCTATGTTTGAATTATCGAGATGAATTCACACTAACTGTGTGAATAAACGGAAATGTGTATGCATGGATTAGAAACAACGGTCTTCAGGTGAGAATTGACAATGCCCTCAACAAGTATTCAGGCATTAGTTTCATAAACGTTTCCTTATCGTAAGGCAATTTCTTATGTTTCTTGCCACATGATAGTGTTACTGGAGTTGAAGAGAAATCTAGTTAAAGAAATGTTCCTTAAATTGTGTAATGTATATATAAGATACTTTTAAGTTAAGGAATTTCCCTAATTACTAGCAATTAAGGAATGTTCATAAAACTTATGGCTATGAGAATGGTATCCTATGGGGGAGCTATATCTGCCCCACCCTTTGCAATATCTCGATAAATAACATCAGGTCAGATCTAGATAAAAAAGTGAAAACTTCACAGTATGCAGATTATAGTGAAACATGTATGTATATATATCTGGCAGTCCTGAGTGGTTATGTTAAAAAGCATGAAAAGATGTATTATCCGAGCTACTCAAAATCAAACACAAGTGACAGACTTTGGGCCTTAAAGCCAAAATTATATCTTCAGTTTCTTTTTTTCTCTGCTTGCGATGGATGTCGCGGAGATGGGACAAAGGGGTGTTATACTTTTCTGACGGCGGCAGCGTCAACGTTAAGTTTTTGCGTTTAGCTCTGTTTCTCAAAAAGTATAAGTGTTAGACCAACCAAACATGGACCATACGTGCGTCTTTATATTCATAACAATTGATTATATACCATGCCTAATATATGTTGAATATGGCCAGCTACATTTCGCAGTCCAGTGCCTTTCATAGCATCTCCCTAAATGTAAAGCTTTTGCCTTTAGCTGTGTGTTATATGCTGTATTTACAACATTTAAAGTGTTAGACTAATTAAACTTAGACTGTAAGTTGGGATGATCATTACCGTCTTTAGGGAATAAGACAACAAACATGGCCACAGTATACTGGCTTCTGATTGGTCAAAATTCAGATATTGATAAATTTCATTAAAAAAAAATATGTGGGTGTATTTTGCCACTGCGAACTCAGCCGCAACATCTGTTTTCTGATTTGACAAAATGGCCACCTTACTGGCTTCTGATTGGTCAAAATTCAGTTTTTTTCCGATATCAATCAAATTTGGTTTGTACAATGTGCTTGTATATTGGCACTGCAAACTCAGCCACAACATCCGCTTTCTGATTTGACAAAATGGCTGCCATATATAATGGGTTCTGATTGGTGGAAATTCAGCTACTTTTCGATTTCGCTCAAATTTGGTATATGGATGTATCTTGGCAGTGCAAACTCAACCATGACATTCATATTATTATTTGACAAAATGGCCACTGTAAATTTGCCTCTGATTGGTTAAATTCAGTTATTGTTTGATTTCGCCAAAAATCAGTATGTAAGAGTATTTTCGCACTAGTCCTGGGAACTCAACCGCTGCATCCGTTTTCTGATCTGACAAGATGGTCGTTGTATACTGGCTTCTGCATGATTGGTCGAAATTCACATATATTTTGATTTCGCTCAAATTTGGTATGTATATGTATTATGGCACTGCAAGTTCCGTTCTCCTATTCACGTTTGCTTTTTCAAATGCGGGGGTAGTTTGTAGGACATATGTAATGGACGGCTCCCATTACAATTACCACTTGTTCCTTTTATGCCTCCATGTTGATGTATTGCCAAACTTGTTTATAAAATATAAAATTCTGAACTTCGGCTCAAATTTACAATACTTGACACATTGAATCTTATGCTCAAAGCGGGGACAGGCGAGACATCTAATGACGTGTAATTCTTGTTCTATTATTTTCGGCATTTTATAAATTACTGTTCAGGCTTTTAACTTTAAAAACAATTGTTCATTTGTGCTTAACAAGAGCTAAGACATTTCAGCCTTCGTCATATATATATTTTCCTCATGACATATATTTGCTGAGGTTTTTAAATGAATATACAGAGTTAAATAACTTTTAATCCTTACTTTGAAAACAAAATCAGATAATAAAGAAATAATTAGGGACTATATATTTATCGCAGATACAGGAATATTTTACTGTTATTTCATACATTTTCTTCATTCTTGGTTTTTTCTCTCAAAATATAAGGAGGCACCTTTCATTGTTTTGAAAATGTTACATTTATATGATTTGACCAAAAATATTGAACATTATCTAA